ATATATATATATATACATACATATATATATATATATATATATATATATATACATTTTAATAAACTTGAGAGAAGCAGGCAATGTAGGCTAATAGATAAACAGAAACCACAAAGGATTATTAGAATGACTACCTCCATGGATTAAAAATTAAAGGAGAAAAGATTATAGCTAACATTTTACACACAGAACACTAGTCTGAGAAGTACGTATTAAGATTGTGTTCCATATTTTCCTCTAAGAATTAAGTTCCTAATAATAAAATATCAAATAATGATGATCTTATCAATTATCTTGCACTATCTAACACTTCACATTTTACAGTCCAGGCTACACATTGAGATGCCTGTGCTAATTCAGTACCTCCAGTAGTTTTTGCCAGTTGGTATAACAGTACATGTCAAAATTTGAGGAAATTTGTAACAATTAATTCTATAATAACATAGAAGCCATCAGACTGCATTTCAGAGTTTTATTGAGATTTTTTTCAGTTTTAATTATCTATGATAGCTACAATTCTAATGACCACGATTATATCAGAGCTCTGCCGTTATTTTCAATAGCGGATACAAAGTTGGCTGCCATGCCTTAGACACACACACACACACACACACACAAACACACACACATACACACACACACTAGAAGTTACAGAGTCCTGCATGCAAACTTATAGGAAATGTACATTCCTTTTTTAACACAATTATGCACAATTAGTCTGAAATTTGTTAAACTACCATTGATGTAGATAAACCTGAGAATGCTCAAAATGTCAAGTAACACTGTTTCCATACTGCTCATTCAATGGCACTATTAATCACAAAGAAATCTAGTTCAATGATCCACCATGAAAATCACAGATAATATAAAAATAAACATTTTTGCAAAATCACTAAAACATACCAGAATTCAAATTCACAATTTTTGATATGTAACATATATTCCCCTTCATATTAATTTGTAATGATGTATATAATGCAGTGTACAACAGAATTAAAACATTTTAACAGGATTCAGCATCCAAATAATATACAGTTATCACTGTAAAACTTGTACTTAAAGTTATCAAATGTACAAAGAAAACATTAAAGTTAGCAGTGTTGGATTGCTGGTAGTGAGTTACTTAGAAACTCCATCTCAAAGAAATTAAGATTACACTATTTCATCTTAAGAAGAAACGGTAACATAAGCATTGAAGCAGAATTGAACACAGTAACTGATTACACCAGCTGCCTCTTTCTCTCCCCATCTCCCTGAAGTATTTCCTTAAATTCTAATGTTGTATCTGCAATGTCCATCCCACCAGACTTCTAAAACAGCTACTCTGAGTTTAGGACAAGCCTTTTGCATTTGGAAATGGGAAACTCTGACTGTATTTGGGGACACGATTTTAAGCATGTTGAAAAGACAATACAGACTTTTCTATAATATTATATAAAATGTAGACAATACATTTTTGTATTTACTATCGATCTTATGACAGTTTGACACCAACTTGTGTCTATATAGAAAGCACCCTAAATAAAAAGATAAACGTGCAAAAGCATTTCTAGAGAAAATTAATCACTTATATCACAAAACAAGATTAGATTAAAAAATCTGAAGACTTAAACATTTCAAGATACTGATATTTGAAAAGCATCATAATATACAGGAACTCTATTATGTATCATATATTATGTAAAATACACTAGTGTGACATATTAATATTATACATTGTAATAAATATAATTTACATTGGTATGTTGGATCTTTCAAGAAAGTTTTTCAGTCTGTACAACTGAAGGACTATGAGCTTCATCAATAAATACTATCATAATAGTTACAATTTGACCAGCAAAGTTAAAGCTTCACTATATCTCTAACTAGTTACACATCTTTATTGTCACTAGTCCAATTCCAGCTGCTGTAAGCACTGACATCTGTTTCCAAAGGCAGTATAAGTGCACTGCCCCAAGGAGACTGAGAAAACTTACATTTCATAGCCATATCACAGTTGGTGAACTTTGTACGAATTTTCAGCCAAAGACTGGAACTGAAGAATCCTGGAAAATACAGTAGCAGATTTCATGCACCTCTGGCTGCCTGTAGTTTTAATGCTTCACCACATTCCCTAAGGCTCCAACAGTTGGATGTCATCCAACCCTTTTAACTTACAGAGAGTGGTCTTGATAGGGTCGAGAGTTCCACAGCTGGCCGAGTGACAGTGTTATGGTTTTAACTCCAAATCCCACTCTCATGCTATATCTCTTCTTGGTTTGTCTTTTTATTGTGTCCATGCAAACACACACTGATGTGCAAAGAGTCAAAGATGCCAGCAGATGAGCCATAAAATACCTTGATCTCAGCAGTCAAACAGTTTTGTAGTGTGTAATTTAGTTAACTGATAGGTTCTATAATTTTAGTTCTTCATTTATCAACATGCCAGTAGATTTCTACATTTACTATTAAAATACCTACTTACATCCTATGTCATGAATCAGATTTTCAGCCAATAGATCATCTTGACCCTCTGTATGTTTTCACCATTAGCAGACTCATCCCAGAGACCTATTTGTGCCTAGAAGGAGTTGGTCATTCTTGTAACTGTTTGGCATGCATCTGCATGTCATCATTGTCCACTATGTTATATATGAAGCTAAAGAAGAAACACTCTGGAAAATGCACACCAAGAAGTAAAAGGGCATTTCTAGTCACTGCCCACCTCCACATTGGATCCAGACTCCAAAAGAAGGTTCTCTGGAAGCTGAAACAACGTACTTAACACACACTGTAAACCAGGCTGGCATCCTCAGACCTAAAAGGAAGAACACTAAAGTAAATGGTGGGAAAATATTATAGAAATATGTACCATTAGCCTGCACATTCAAGGACTTTGTAAGCTTTGGCATTTCCATTTTGGCCAGTTTAGTGCTATTACCCTTGTTGACATTTGATGACGTTTGATGGGGTAATACATTCATAACTTATCTTAGTCTTTCTTATAGGATTCCACAACAGACAACACTGTAGAACTCTAACCAGATGAGAACCTAGCTCAAACTTCTCTTTCCTCAAAACAAGGAGGTAGGTAGGACATCTAACAGGTTTCTTCTTGATTTCGTTTCTATAATTCTGTGCAGTGACACTGAACATGTGACAAACTACCATGCCTTAGGAAGTTTAACAGCTTTTCTTCATTGGACCTAGTGGCCAAAGGCTGAGTAAAATGAAGCAACTCTAGGGAAAAACTGAAGGTCTCACAAGTCTGCACTCCACCCAGGAACAGCCAAGTACTGGATCCCAGCTCTGACTTCCCTGTCGCCATGTCCCACAGGGCACTGAGGTTCACACCTTGAGACACAGCCCCAAATTGCCTTACATATGAAGTGCTTTCAAACAAGTTATTCCACCATCAGTTGCAGACTCTGATGTTGGCTTTGTTGGCATGTCTTCACAATTAAAAATTCCTTTGACACTGGATTGATTTATTTGGTGTTGTAAATTGTGTTACTGTACCACATTATTCTGCATTATATACAGTTTGACCATTTCAAGGGCTAGAAATGCAATTCAATATTCATTAAAATTTATTATTAAAGGTACTGGAGTATTTTACAGATCTGTCAATACCTCCTGGCAGAAAGAAAATATAAAAGAAGACATTGACGGGGAGTCTTCTCTTAAACTATTACTAGTTTGATTAGCAGCTTCTCCACCTTACTTTTTATTGCTGTGGTACTTCAAGTACTTAAATTTAATTCTTCATACTTCCCTTTCCCATATATTTGGAGTCTTTTTCCTTCAGATATGAGGGTGTAAGATCCAGGAAAGCATCATAGTATGTCATTCTATCAGCGCAGCCCATACAAATTCTGCCTCCTTTTTATATTTCCACTTACTGTTTTCCAGCATTTGGAAGAAGCAAAAAAAGAGCTTTCACACCATGATTAATTTAAACTAAAGTCTTCATTTTAAAAATGGCTTCTCCCCCCTCCCCATTGCCTTATACACGTGAGACTATGCTTGCAGGTGATTCATTAGGGATGACTTTCAGCCACTCTCCCTCAACTTGCTAACAGTTAATAAACTTTGGTCTGTAATTTATCTGTGATTTTTAAAATTGTTTTTACAAATGTTAAGTGAGCATTTGTCCTGGAACACAATCACGCTGCTAAGGCCACTGCACAGCAGTGGTGCAAGTAAATGCTCTTTATGTAAGGAAATCTTACACAGAGTTCATGGTGTTTACAAGGAAAGTACATGCACTGTGATTATTTTGAAGGTATTTTACTTGTAAGATAATGTATGCAGGATTCCACCACCAAACAATTAGCACACGACATAGAGTGAGCAGTTTTCTAGAAGTAACTGGGAAACCATCACTTTTTTAGGCTTTTAAATTCATTGACTTTACTTCTCCATTCAATTCTCCAAAGAAACTCAGCCAGCCACCACCTATACTTACAGGACCAAAAAAGAAACTCAGCTAAAATCTGTTCATCTGATATTGAATGAACCGAGTTTAGTGTTTTGCTGTACTCCACTAATTTGATAATGTGGAGTTTCAATTTGTTCCCACCTCAGATTATTCAAAACATGAAAGACGAGACGAATCACAAATTCATGTTGCAGGTGGTCAGTTTTCTTGGAGAAAGTATTAATATCAAAATAGTTCCATTACTCATGTGCACTTTAAACAGAAGAGCTTGTAAATTTTAAAGAAGAGAAAGTAAATGTTTAAGTAGGATATTATTTTATTTTACATACTCCTGGTTAGAAAGAAGGAAGTCCTTGAAAGCAAACCCAAACAAGCTAAGTGTGGGTGTAGGCATTTCCAGTTCTATTTTTTTTTTTTTTTGACTTACTGCTTTCTTAGTTTGAATTTTCTCTAAACTTACTAGAAACTTAAATAAAAGGGGAAAAAAGCACTCGGCTCTATTTAGCATCCTACCATGTTACAAAAGTGGGTGTTTGGGGATTCTGGCCTCTTCACAAGCTTGTATCTCCATTTTGCTTGAACTCGGATAAAATATTGAGGGTCATGTCTTCACTCTTGGATTGCAAATTTGCCTCACTTCTTCTGGAAGCTTTCCTGGTGGCTCGGGAGAGTCTCCTTCTGAAAGTATCTCCTGCCAAGAAATAGAGAATGGGGTCCACACAGCTGTTGAGACTTGCTAGACCTCTTGTCACCTGATAAGTGGCATAAACCCTGTCATTGAAAGCACACATTCCTGGGGCCTGAAAATCCAGCCGGGCCCTCAAATTCATTGTTTTCATCACGTGGAAAGGGATGTAAGACACAGCAAAAACAGTCAGTACAATAATCACCAGGTAAATGGATTTCCTTCTCAGAGGCGAGTTGTCCAGGTCTTTGTAAATCAAAGCTCTCACAATTAATCCGTAACAACCCAAAATCAGCACCAAGGGGACACAGAACATGGCCACGGTCGTGCACATGCTGTAGATGAAATAACTTCGTAGGTACTCATCTGAGGTGGTGTCATAGCAGGTGATGGTTTTGTTTTTCCGGATCCCGGTGCCCGAGTAGAAGAGGATGGGGGAGATCACCACCACCACGATAAGCCACACCAGCACGCTGATGTAGACCGCGTTCTTCTTCTTGAGTCGGCCCAGGGACTTGAGCGGGTACACCACCCCGCTGTACCGGTGCGCGCTGATGCAGGTTAGAAACAAGATGCTGCCATACAGGTTCACGTGGAAGATGAACCTCTGCAGCTTGCACATGGCATCCCCGAAAATCCAGTCTGTCTTATTGAAGTAGTAGAAGATGAGCGCTGGCAGGGTCAGCACGTACAAGAAGTCGGCCAGGGCCAAGTTGAACATGTACACGGAGATTCCGCTCCACGGCTTCATGTGGAAGACGAACATCCAGATGGCCACGCTGTTGCCCAGGAAGCCGATAATGAACACCAAGATGTAGACAGTCGGCAGGTAGTAGAACTGGAAGCCTGTCTTGGTCAGTGCGCATTTGTACGGGCCGGCGGCGACGGCGGCGGTAGAGGCGACTGTGCTGTTCCCCCAGGGCGAGCCCGGGCCGGCCAAGAAGGCAGCGTCCGTCCCGTTGGGGACCGCCGGCCACAGCACCTCGGTCATTCTCTCCTCCCCGACTTAAGCGGCGGCTCCAAGGGGCAAGCGGCGGCGAGAGGGCGGCGGCGGCGAAGGGCGCAGCGAGCATCGGAAAGGCGGACGAGCGGACTGAAGCGGGAGCCGAGGATCCCTGCGGGAGGGGGCGCGCGGGGACTCGCCCACGCCGGCTCCGGCCCCGCGTTCGCCGCGGGCCATGAAAGCCACCCCCGGCCGCGACCGAACCGGGCTGGCCGGATAACCAGCAACTTCCCGGTCCGGCTGGCAGCGCCGAGGTTACACAACAGGGCGCTCAGGACACCGGCGCCGACAACTTTCCGACTGCGCTTTCCCGAGGGGCCGCGGGTTCGCGCTGGAGAGCGCGCCAGGGGCTCAGCCGGGTCGAGCTAAACTCGCTGCGCTGCGCTCAGGCGTGGGGAGGGCGCGCCCCAGCCTCCTTCCCCCAAGATCAGCTTCGTTTGGGCATCTTCCTTCTCCCTACCGTACAAAACAGCAGGTCGGTTCTGGGGCCCGCGCCGCTGCCTCCACCCACCCTGCGCTCAGCCTCTGGGGGCCATCGGAGCGCGCATGGCCGCAGACTCGTGCGCTTCTGGGTCGCGTCCGGTTCGCCGTCTGTGTGAGCTCGCAGGCCCTTCTAGAGCTCTGCTCAGTCCTGAGTGCAGGCTGCGGGAGGGCGAGCCGTGCTCCCCGCGAGGGTGGGCGGAGTTTGGACACCCGGGCAAGTCCGCCCTCCGCGGGGAGGCGAGGGGCGTGCCTCCGCCAAGACCGCCGGGCTGCCAGCCCACGCTCCCCGGGGTGTTCACCTCCAGCCGGAGGCGTCTTCTGGGGAGCCGATCTTCGCCGTGGCCCGGTGCGATCCGCTTCTGCCTCGCTGCCGCTACCGGAGTCCGCGGCGAGGGCGAGGGGCACGCTTGTTCGCGGTCAGGTTTGGCTGCTGGGGAGCGATTGGCCCGCGAGCGTTCCTTCGCTCTTCCGCCAGCTGTCTCGGCAAAGTGAAGTTGCTGACAAGCAGGAAACCCCTCTCACCGCTCAGAGTCTTCTGCCTACTACCCTGGAGCCGACCAGAACGAGACTGAAGTCACTAGGGCTCTCGAGGACCGCGCCAGGTGTTCGCAGGTTCCAAGGAGCCAGCAGTCCCCAGCTGGGAACGCCCCGCGGCTCGGTGCGCCGCGCTTCACCGGGACTGCATTCCTGGCAGTTGGCAGAACCTGCTACTCCCAGGAAGCTTTCAAAGGAGGGAGGGTGGGGAGGGAGATCTGGAGAGCCTTTCTGCCCATCTAGTTTGCTTTTTCCTTTTTATTTCAGTGTTGTTTTTTTCTTAATCAAATGCTAATAAACCGACATCATTGATGACATCAACGTGAGAATTTCTGAATGGACTTTTTAGAAATATTGTTAGTCGATACTTCACATTGCGTCAGCACAATTTAACTTGTTACCTACCATCTAACTACAGTGCAGGGTCTCCAAATCTTCCAGTCTGGTACATTAATTAAAGATCAGAGGCTAAAAAAAAAAAAAAAAAAAGAAAGATCAGAGGCTGCAGTAAAATAATAATAATAATAATAACAACAACAACAACATCAACAACATATTGTTCGGGAAATAACTTGAATATTAAATACAACTTATACAGATAGATGTAAAGGCAATTTCAACTCCGAAGTGATTAAGGTATAGTTTGGGAAATTTATTACCAATCCTATTTCTTTAGGTTAAAGAGATTAGTCACAATGATCTCTGATAAGTACCCTAACAAGTGGTTGGGTTGGGACTTCCTTGAAAACTACGTTTATTGAAAAATTAATTTCAAAATTGTAGCTGAGTAAGTTTGGTTGGGAACTAAATGAATTATTAGTTGTTGAGGGACATGTTTAAATGGGCCCACACAGGGATGGAATCAAGCGATTTTTGACAGTTTACTGATTAACAATATATTTTATGTGAAATAGTCACAAAGACTTTTCTCTTTGAAGGAAAAAATCCAAAAAATATCTGTAGAATATATGCTATAAAGAGGCTTTCTAGTCTCAGATGTTGCATGATACTCTTCTCTTAAAAAATGCTCAAAACCACCAGCTCCTGGCCTTGATCCCACAAAGAAAAAATTCCCCACAAGACCCAGACAGTCCTTTCGAGAGACAGATGGAGAAAGGAGCAAATCCAAACACATGGCATGGTGAGCTCACTAGTATTTTGAGTTGTAGTCAGTTGAACAGCATGAAAAGCAAGTGATAAAACTGGAGTACATAACTCAAGGGCATCAGTATTATTGTTTCGATACAGTCTCAATTGAGATGAATGCTACAGGCCTCAGTTTTCTCATCTATTTTAAAATAAGGGAGTTGGATTTGATTTTTTTTTCTTTCATATATGATTCTGTAATCTGAGCCTAAACATGAAACATTAACATATTGTTTGATTAGAATGGTATTGACTAGGATGATTGTCTATTAAGAGAGAGAGGGAAGCAGAGAAAAACATTGAGTTCCGTTGGTACTCAGTAGGTCCTAATTCCTCACTCCTCTGCATTTTTCATTTGCAACATAAGCAATATGTAACCTCATTCAGAAGTCTTTTGCAAATGCATTAACTCATAATGTGAGTGTTTTGAAATGTACGCTTGGTCCAGATGCCATTAAGTACTTTCAGAAAACTTGACACTCTACAAGGAATTTGGAGGAGGTTGTTGTCCTAAGTGCACCACAGACCTTTTAAAATAACATTGAAAAGGTAAATTTTATAAACACTGCTTTTACATTCCACATATTTAATTGCAGATTTATAATATGTTTAAATTGTATTTTAAGTCAAAATTGTGCCTTTTGGGAATGACTTGTATGTATTCAGTTATTCTTTTGTTGACTTTGTTAACTTTCTATTTGTAATGCATTGAACTAGATTTAATAAAGGAAAAAATAAAACACCATCTAAAACCCAATAACATATCAGTATTTATTGATGCTTGAATACCAATTACAAATGTTTTAAAGGTATGAAAAGAATATGTTTCATATCTTTAAGTGACTTACCTCAAACATTTTCGTATTAATTTATTTTTTATTTGATCAATGATGTAAATACCCGATTTTAAAAGACTAACAATATAATTGGAAATGCAAAGAATGTGCAAAGTTAACCATAATAATAACATATAACAGTAGCAATAATAATAAGCCTTTCCTGTATACTTAGCACTGTATTGAGTCCTTTAATCCTTAAAATATCCTATGATAGTTGACAATTGTATCCCTATTTTATAAGTGGTTAAACAAAGGCACCGAGAGTTTAAGTAATTCATCCATAGTCACACAGTAGAAATTGGGATTTAAACGTCAGCCATTTCTCCTTAAAGCTGTATATTTAACCACTATTATATGATGAAATACACAATAGTACAGGGCATTGATTGGAAAATTAACTGTTAGTGGCCACTACTAAAAAGGTTGAGTATAGAAAGTGTTACTCCCAGAAACCTTCTATCAAGAAAATTTTAAACCAGATCTTGAAGGTACTGAGTCAAAGAGTATTTCAGAAGCTTCCCAAATGTTCTGCTCTACTTAGGCTTTTAAAAAATAACCAACAATTTATATATAATTTGAGAAGGACAGGCAATTCTGGGGAAGTCAGATCTGTTCAGTTTCAGACTCAGAAATAAAAAGGCTGTTCTTCTTGTGTTTACAAAGATTCTAATAAGCCATCTTGAGGAAGGGACTACTTTCACCTTTCTTAAAGTCACAGAAAATCCAGCACTCATTGAGGGAGGAAAGATTATTGAAAAAATTCTAATTGAGGGCCACAACATAAAAAAAAAAAGAAAACTTCTGATAAACATAAAGTGTAAAATCTCCCAACTTTAAAGTTGGGACAAAGAAATGTGAAATTTGATTAAATAAACATAATACTGCAAATGCTAAACCTAAATCAGGTGGCAGTGGAAAAGAAGGGAAAGCCAATGGGTGGGCAACCGTTAGGATTCTGCGGGGAGAGAGGATGAGACCCTGATTTGGGAGATTAGGGAATCCTTTGAGAGATCCCTCTAAGTGTAACAACTAAGATGTGATAACTTCTGAGATGTACCTTAAGAAAGTGAGGAGACTCTTCTATTCCCCAAGAAGAATAGAGGAGAAAGAAAGAGGAGAAAGAACCTAAGGAATTCACAGCTTATGACCCTGGGTAGATTAGAGGCAAGAGGGCCGAGGTGGAGCACACAGAAAGGATGAAAGATTGTCCTGGGCTGCGGAGGGCCCAGCTGCTCCTATAAATGATGCACTTGTCATGGATCCAATCAGGAGACATACTGAAATTTATTTCATTAGCAATCACAGCAGGGGTAGAGGACACAGAATAGGAGACAGCATGGATGCTCCAAGGTTGGAATGAATGCGGAGAGAAGAGAAGAAAGGACCAGGGAGGCAGAGGAAAGAAAGAGGGGAAGGGAGAGGGAGGAAGGAGAGGGAAAGCAGGAGGGGAAATTCCAGGTGTGTGAGGGAGAGAAGAGAAAGCAAGGTGCTTGCTCAGAACTGGGCAGAGAATTTAGGAAATCTCACTGAGCATTGCTGTTCAGTTATTTAGGTTTGAAGCTGGATGGCTGTGGGGGGAGGGGTCTGGGAGGTGGTGAGATGGCACAGGCTGTGTGGCCCTGTGGTCACAGAGCAGTGTTTCTATAGAGGATCTGCCCCTTGGCAGATGACATTGAGCTAGGTTTTCCATCTGTGCTCTTTCATTTACAAGGACCTGTAAAATCCCAGTCCGCCTAAATCTTCTTTCATCCTTCAGAAAATTTCTTGCTCCTAAAAGTTCAGAATCTTCTAGTGAACTGCTTCCTTGTATTACCCTTTTTAATATTTACTTTCCTTATCATCATCCACATGAAGCCCTCATTCCTAGTCTTGGGCACTTTATAATATTTTTAAAAGAATTTTTGTTAAATCCAGAATCAAAGACACCAGTCCTAGCTTGTAGTCTTTCTCTAATTATTATTATTATCTGATAAATATTCCCTTTTCTCTCTTTGTATCTGACCTCTCTGGTTTCACAAAGACATGTTTCACAACATTTACTGATAACAGATTGGCAATGCTGTATTACATTCCAGTTCTTCTCCAGTTTCTTTATACATTTAACTTTTTCAGGAGATAGGGAAATAAATGTTTGTAAAGCCTGGTTGTGCAAAAAATACCTTTAGAACCAGTTACCTATATCCAAGATCTTACACCACAATCATGGACCCATGGAGGGTTTCCATGGTAGCACAAAGGACAAGAATATGACATTATTTGAGTTTTATTTGTCATCACTATTGTAGCCACCATAAGCAATTTGTTGACTTCTGGTACATCCGTATTTTGAGTACCTAAGCTAAATTCCAAATAGGTAAAAGAAAATCATATGTAAAAATAAAGAAATACCTGTTTTCCTCATGTTAAGTCTCGTCTTCCATCAGCCGACTCCTGGGATGTTGATCTCAGTTATGTCCTGAATGTTTTACATTTTTCAAGATTAAAGTTAATAGCAGTTATTATCACTCACATTTCAGATTTTGGAATTTGGCTTTCTGAAAAGTCGGTAAGTTTTCACCAGTGGCACTCAAATTGTGAGCCAACTTTAAACATGAGCATTGTGTCCATTTTTATAACTTTGAGATTCTTG